TGCGAGCATGGTTGGGGCCCTAATTCGAGAACATGTGCCCGTTGTAATTAAAGATTGGCATTCAATGGATGTAAAGATGAAAATGGAGCTTTGGGCTTTTATACAGGTACTATTTCTTAACTGCCTCACTTTATGTCCTCCTCCATCATTCTACTCGGGTGGAAAAGATTTGTCCCCGAATCTTGCGAAAGTTGCACTAGAGCATTTACCAAATTAAAGTGCAAAAATGTACCTTGATCATGATCCATATCTGCAACCAAGTTACAATAGCAAGATTTTTCATTAACGCTTTCAGGTTACAACTACCCTTCAATAACAACCCCAAAATTGCCTGCAATTGTTCCTTTACACACTTTATTGGTACCCCTTTGTCAATCTCCTTCTCAAAAATAGATGGCCCATCATAAACCTCGCCTAAATCAACAGCTCACAAATTCATAGGATTTCACTAGCTCACTAGAATCAAGATCTTTTCTATTGGCCTTCTTGGGGTAGTCAATGAGGTGGAAATTGAATTCATAATCATCAAGCCCTTCTATGAGCTCCCAAGTATTGATAACAGAGTCTGGAGACAAATGATCCTCAGAATTGCCAAAAACTTGACCTTTTTCCAAATGTTTGTGTAATTCAAGCTTTTAAAGATGTATACCTTTACTTGTGTCTGAAGATCCTTAATATAATCAACAGCCAAATCCAACATATCTGATGTATTCGTTTTCTGCAAAATTAAGTACAACCTCAAAAAAAAGAAGAAGAAACGAGAACTAGACGATATATAGATTCACAATTGATACATGTAATCAACGACTTCACCTTTTCCATATTGGGAACAAGTTCTTGTAGCTTCCGCATCCGCTCACTGATTCATGTTCTTCTCACCTATAACAATTATATAAAATTTTCAAGCACAATTCATTGATCTAGAGTATAGATTCCACATTTTTGTTGACATTGAAAATCAGTAAGTCCACTTCTATTTGCCAAATGGTCATAAACTTAATGGAATAGTAGAATGTTTTTCACTTATAATGACAAAAAGAGAATTAGACGTTGAGCATTACCCTTTCTGCGATGCTACGTGGGTGAGTAGCACAACCTCGTTTTGCTCTTATCTTACATGGTACCGAATCCTGCCACATTTTTTCCATTGCAGATATCTCGGCAGAACTACTAGGCAAACTTAGATGGTGGGACAATATAGTAGTGGGACGATTTCCACCTTCAGAATTCTGCTAGGGATAGTTGTTGTTTCTCATCAGAACCAATAAGTTGGAAAAATAAAAAATGTTTTATCATCAGAAAATACCTGATCATCTAAGACGTTTATATTTGAAAATGTCTTATTTTCATCTTCTCCTAGCCCTTTCATAAAATCATCAGACAGAATTGATGAATCATTCCAAGAAACTTCTGGGAAACATGTGATATAGTCGCCATCATTAGCACGATCTTCTTGAAAATGTCTGTCACCTGGATAAGTTTGTGTCTTTAGAAAATATAAGGTATACATCCTTATATCTTCCTGAAAATATAAGGTATACATCCTTATATTTTTAACTAATGTTTGTGTCTTTAGAAAAGGGGCAAGGGGTGGACAAATTCAGATCAGTTCTATTCTTAGTTGCATGATATTTTCCTCTGAAATGAGGCTAACACAGTTTTCCTT